CACACCATAAAACAAGTCACTTCAAAGTTCTAAGTTCTACTAAAACTTTATTGAAAATAAATTCAGCATAAAAGTAAAATGCAATCACAACATACAAGGTACTTACACATTGCAATGCCAACCTGCTTGCCCGAGCCGTCAAACTGACAGCTCGTTCAAGAGGTGCCATTTACCTGGTTGCTATCCTTTTTATCCCTTTAAACCACAAACCACATTATGACAATCAGATCATTCCCAGAACAGATGTCGACACGTGTCGGTGCCCTCTCTCTGGCACTTCTATTCTTGTCAACAAATTTGTAATTTCCTTCACTTTGTAAGTTCCTCTTATTTCCCGTAAATGCCCCACAGGTCATATTTCAGTTATCTTGGCCTTATTAAATGCACTCAAAACTTACATTAAAACATATAAAAAGGCTACTAATAATTTTCCCCTCACACCATTTTCATATATATATCTTTAAAGGCATATCTCTGCAGAAACAGAGTATTTTTTCTATTATGCTTGTGTAAGCCCAGTGAGCAGAATTTTAGAATCTGAAAAAGTACAATTGAAAGGCTAGTGTTGTGATGCACATTATTTTTTGTATTTTCTATTTCATTTTATAATAGCTTTTCTAAATAATCACTTAAGGATAGATGGTCCAGTTAATCAATTTGAGAAATATAGCCTGATTTGAACACTTTGGACATTTATATAGCAGAATTTGCCATTTGCATTTTCAGAATAATAATGCCATTCTCTCCAAATAAAGCATTTTTAGAGTTTGAGTTTTCAGGAATCTTTTATTTTTCCTGCTCTTGAAAGAATAGACTAACTTTTGCTGATAATTCCCTTTTCTGTAGGACACCTTGGAAGAAATGCTGTTTCTCTGGTGATGGAGAGTACATTGTTGCAGGATCAGCACGTCAGCATGCTCTGTACATATGGGAGAAAAGTATTGGCAACCTTGTGAAAATCCTGCATGGCACTAGGGGGGAACTGTTGCTAGATGTTGCAGTAAGTGCTCCATCTTTTTCTCCGTAGATTAATTTTGTCAGAATAATTGGCCCGTTTTGTTTTAATATATGTGCCACTTTTCTCCATCTTCCTGATGCAATCTCTTCTAGTGGCATCCTGTCCGACCAATCATTGCTTCTATTTCCAGTGGAGTGGTATCCATATGGGCACAAAATCAAGTGGTAGGTAGAATTCTGCTGCATTTTATTAGCCCTTTACATTTTGATTTTGGGGGGGGGAGGCTCTGTTTTCATTTATTCTGAATACCTTTACAATATTTGCATAAGCTTTACATTATAGAATTAGTATTATTCTAAACAAATATAGAAGAATGTAAAAGAATGCAGGAACCAACCTAATGTTTAAAAAACTTCCTAATGGAGAAAGCAGTTTGACGTAGAACCAATTATACAGAGAGGTGGTAGACTCCCCTTCATTGATTGAGCTTAAGTGAAAGCTAGAGAGTTGTCTGTATGGTTGCTTTAATTTTGATTTTTGTGCTGAAGAGGAACTTGGCCATGATGACTTAGATGACCTTTCCTGTCCTGTTCCAGGTCAGTCAGGCACACCCAGAGAAGTTTGGGTGCTAGACTTTTGCTTCAGATTTAAGCAAAAGCAAGCAGCAGCAGGCAGGGTTTGTGTGCAAGCATATACAAGTTTCAAAGTCCCAATCTCATACGAGCTTGCTTGCAAACAAGTTCAGATAACAAGAGTCCAAAGCAACAGGTGAAAACATTATTAGGATATGGTTTAGTTGTTTGCAGATAAGTCATCAGTTGATAGGGTAGAAAGTGACAGTTTTGGGAGACAAGAGGTTCCAGGCTTTGGGTGCATAGACCACGATAGAATGGTTGTCCCCAAACTGGCTTTTAAATAAAACCTCTATTAGGTGGATGCTAATCAACACTGGAAACTCCCTTGCTTGGCAAGAAGGGACATAGAGCATCTTTGCTCTGCTCTGCTTGATATAGAGCATGGTGTGATTGAAAAGTGGTTGCTCGTTGCTTACATGGGGCTTATATGCTATATGGTATCACAAGTTTGAAATGTTTTCGGATGGGGGGATTTACGGTTTAGGAAAACTGGAGTGCCTTTGCACCTGATTTTAAAGAGCTGGACGAAAATGTAGAATATGAAGAGCGGGAGTCTGAATTTGACATAGAAGATGAAGATAAGAGCGAGCCAGAACAGACAGGTAATGAATGTATTATTTTAAATTTATTTTAAAAACAATAACTCTGCTGGAGATGTCAGTGCCCATTTAAATCCAGCATTTTGTTTCTTACCATGGCGAATTGGATACCTTTGTGGTGTTTACAAGCAGGAGATGAAAACATGCTCTTTTCCTGGCAGTGTTGCCTTGCAACTTGATTGTGTGCCATCTCACCCTCAACTTTTTTCCAAGTGAAGGTGTTTGAAACACTGAACCTTTTCTCCTAAGGAAATGTTCAAGCCCCCTGATCATGTTTGTTGCCCCTTTTTGCACTTTTACAACTCTGTTTCACTTTTTTAAATGTGATGACCAACAATTTTTGTTCCAAAAATTGCGTATAATAATAACACCACAAATAACAAGACCTATGGGAATTGGGGGGCAGGTTCCAGAGCATATGATCATCCTCTTGTTTTTACAAGTATTCCTCTTCCTCCCAGAGAGGTGCTTTCTACAAGGTTCCATGTGGCTTTCTCATAGTAGCTGTCCTTTGGAATGACTTACTCAGCTAGTGATGAAAAGAGCTGCTCTGCCTGCATCACACGGCTCACACTGGCTTCTATATGCCGCATCGCTTTCTTGCAATCTTTCAGTTCTATCACTGGATGCTAATGTTCAAAAGCCATTCATGGCTTGCTCTGATGACTACATTGGTGCTTGTAGTTAGGGTAGTACTCTTTCCTCTGAAGCCTCCAACTGCAGTGATAATGGTTGTCTTCCATCTGCTCACAGCCACAATTGCCAGCAGTGTGATTGGAGGCCAGCTGCCACAAGAAAGCCATGTGGAGCTTCAGAATTGGGCTGACTCAGTGAGGGGTCCATGCTAAGCAAGTACATGTAACCTAACCGTAATCATTAAAATAGAATTCCATGTATGTGTAAGGAAACAATAAACAAGGCCAAAACCACAGATATGTGAAAATCTTAATGCATATGCTGAAATCAGGTGTATTTATCAATCATGGATGCACAAAACAGGAGGTAATGAGATGACAATGAGAGTCACCTCTATTCCAAATGTGGAAGTAATAAAGAGAAAAGCATTACAATGCTGGCAGCTTTATTTTCAGTTTCTTTCCTAATGTTCTCTAGCATAAAATTTGCCTTTTTCACAAGTGCTACACGTTGAATCAACATCTTAATTGAACTATCCATTATAACCTCAATGAATTTTTCTCTGATTAGAGACATATTCCATATATGTGAAGTTAGTGTTTTGTTCTTTGTAAAATTAAAAAGAGGTCCTTTTGAAGCTCTTCACTGCTGTGCTTTAAAGAATGTGTGGGGTTTGGCTCACAATATCATCTATAGCTTTTAGATGTATGTAGGGAAAATCTGCCAGTACTAGTGATATTAGGAGATTTTTTATTACTTCAATGTTATAGTTTTATGAGATAGCACAAAATTCAATTCCAGTAATTCAGTTACAGGGCCCCCAGCAAATTTATCCACTGCCATACATTAAGAAATAAAATAAGAGTTTTCAATCAGAGAATTTGCCTCTATTAACTTAAAGTCATCTCACACTTATAAGTAGTAACAATTTGTTGCCTTTTTTTTCTAATCTGATACAACTGTCAGAAATTACACTTTATAAAATAAAACACATCTTCACCCATACAGGATATAGCAGGTCCCATTGATTTAACTCCATTGATTTGCTGGTGCAAAATGGCAGTTATCAAGTAGATACTAATGTTCCCCCCAATTTCTTTGCTTGCCAGGTGCTGATGCTGCAGAAGATGAGGAAGTGGATGTAACTAGTGTAGACCCCATTGCAGCTTTTTGTAGCAGGTAAACTGGTAATGGCACAGCTATTACAAGACTATAAAGAAATTTTAGTTGATTCAAATTATAAGTGTGAAGTATTTGTGTGTGTGCGTGTATGTATACATACATGCATACGTATATTTCAGAACCAAGTCCTGCCCATGCAGTAATGTTTACTCCTTGTTAAATCAGATTAAGAATGAAGCTTCAAAATATCTGTGCTATCATGAGGAAGATACTAGTTCCGATGTAAAATAACCTGGTGCTAGAGGCTGTTATAAATTGCATCTAATTTATTTTTAATTACAATTTCCTGTAAACCAAGAAATGTATATATTCCTCTTCCAAGTTCCTGAAGAATGCTTTTCTCTTATAATAGTTGTGTGAATTAGGTGCATATTCACTATATGTAACCATGTCAAGTACCTTCTTGTGCAAAATGGCTCAGAGTACAACTGTTTTGTAGTTTGAGGAGCTGTCCTAGAGTAATTTTTGTGAGCTAATTCTGAGGCAGGTGGAGAATTTCAGAGAGAGAAAAAATGCTAGATTACAAGATAGAAAGTGAATATTGAAAGTATCCATAATAAAAGATAGTGGAAGTGAACAAGTGAAAGCACCCAGATTTATATAGCACTCATCTAGCAGAAGCTAAGAAGCCTGTGCTTGATAAGGAGAGAGGTGAAAGGTCTTAACACAAATTTATGCATTGTCCCCTAACCTTTAGATATGCTGGATTTCAACTTCCATAATCCCCAGTGAACATAGCTATTGTGATGAATGTAATTTGTGGTGAAACTCATTAGGAAACCAGGACTGTTGCTACCCTGTTGGATAGTAGGAGAGGAGTATTCTATTTTGTAATATATGAGATGCCTTCACAGCATGCAGTTGAATGGTTAATTTAGGGGTCATGATAATACTCTCAATGAGGTAAGAATATAAAAACAAAGGAACACATCTTCCAACATGAGCTGTATATTGCTAATGAGAAAAAATTATTTCTCTGACAGTGATGAAGAATTGGAAGACTCTAAAGCTTTACTCTACTTGCCTATTGCTCCTGAGGTGGAAGACCCAGAGGAAAATCCATATGGGCCTCCACCAGATGCAGTTCAGACTGCTTTACCTGATGAAGGAATAGGGTCTGAGAAGAAGCGGCAGTCTTTGTCTGATGGACCTCAGCCTCCAAAGAAGAAACCTAAAACAACCAACATAGAACTGCAGGGAGTACCCAATGATGGTGAGTAGGTATTCTTTTTCATTCCTTTATAGTTAGGTATCAAAATATATGCTTAGACTTATTAAAGAATCATGATCTGTTCTTTAGTCCAGACTCCCAACATCTTTAATTTTCAGCAGTCTGCAGAATAGATGGGAATGTGTAGTTATGCTCGGATTTTTTCTGCACTACCTGGAACTATGATTCATTTAAGAAATCACTCTTTATCAAGTGGGCTGTATGTTTATTCTTCAACAAAGCAGAATTCTAACATTGGTTTTTTTTATTGTTCCACTTATTTTCTATGGGGCCAGCTGATCACCCAGAAAAAAATGCTTCTGAATTGGACATCTTCCCCACCCTTTAACCTGTTACATAAAATTTAAAGTTCTTTCATATGTTGCTTCTCTCTGCTCTGCTTCACAAGCCTTTGGCAAGCATTGTGGGAGCATTGTGTTTGCCTTCTCTGGATTGTTCACCAAAAGCTTTTGGAAAGAGCACATCTCCATAAATGCATTATATAACTATTATGCTTTTTCCTAACCGACTGTATTTTGTATGAATGAGTCCCATATTTCATTACAATTGTCTGTACAAAGTCTGCGTCTGTAGGCAATCTGCTCATAGGTGGCAAGTGCAATCAGGCCTTCAGTCTATTGAGTGAATGGGGCCATACATTTATATTTCCAGTGTTTTAATATCCTTTAGCCATAGCAAGGGCACGGAGAATCCATTTATGTTGTCCAGTTGTCAAATTCCATGTACTGGGTATGTAATTCAAGAGAATATTATCCTCTGAAAATCATCATATCCTAGAAGCTAATGTCCCACAATCAGGTAAGAAATTGAAGCTGAAAAGAGGTGGCTGTTTCAGCAAGACAGTGATCTCAAATATACTTCTAAATCATCTGGGAAATACATACAGGAAAAAAAGATAAAGGCTTTGGAATGGTCTTCACAGCCCCAGACTGAATATTATTGCAAATCTCTGGGAGATCCCAAACATGCAGTGCATGCAAGGAGACCTGAGAATATTCCTGCAAGGATAATTGACATAAAAATATTCAAAAGCAAGAAGGAAAAGACTCTTAGTTGGCTATAAGAAATGTTTGGTAGCTGTTAATTCTGCCAAGGAAAGTGTTACAGATGCTGACTAAAAGAGTGACCAAAGTTTTGCTGCTGGCACATTCACTATTTATTTTGAATATGTAAAGAACTACACATAAATTTTATGTATGTATGTTTGCAGAAAGATGTGTTTGTACCATGTAGACATTGTGTCAGTTTCTGTTCACGTAGAAATTCATTGAAATATACAGTTTGACCAGGGGTGCTTAAACTTTTACATACAACTGTGTGCCTTGATCTGCATAGATTTGGAAAATAAACAAGAGAGTGAATACATTGGCTTGTTTTTGTTAATGGAAAGTATGCACTTTCTGTTGTAAACTTTTACAGAAGTCCATCCACTGCTGGGTGTAAAAGGAGATGGTAAATCCAAGAAGAAGCAAGCAGGGAGGCCTAAAGGATCAAAAGGTAAAGAGAAAGATTCTCCATTTAAACCGAAACTCTACAAAGGGGACAGAGGTTCTTTACCTCTGGAAGGAGCAGCGAAGGGTAAAGTGCAGGCGGAGCTGGGACAGCCTTTGCCAGGTAAGGACCCATTGTGAGCGTCTGCTTGCTTGGTGACCTTGCTTCGTACAGACATGGCCTAATCTGAGCACTTTGATTTCCCAAACGCCACTTGCTTGCTAAATGTTTAGTTGCTGTGCTCTCAAGGATAGACAGAATTGTACTTTTTCAATTATACCATTTACTCTTCATCACTACAAATATTGGTAAGTTCTATAACACGCTGACATTCAAATAAAGAATGTGAAGCTAAAAAAAATGAATGTGATTTTACCATAAAGAGAAGCAAGCTGTTGATGTTGATTCTCTTTAGTTCATACCATTATTTTTTCACAATCCAAATTTGCTGGCCAAGAAGGCTGCTGAGATCCAGAAGCTGAAATTAAAATGATGGAAATAGTGGGAGCTAAAATTCTTTTCAGAATGCAATTGCTATCATTTTTTTAATGTCATGCTATCTGTGGATGCTAGGAATTGGAGTCTGATATCTTCTAGAGAGCTCTAAAGGTAATAATTACTTTTCTTTATGCGTCCACTTTTCCTGCAGTTGAGGAAGGCATTCTGAAAATCTGTTTGCTCCTCCCTTTGCTCCACTAGGCAGGAATAAAATTTGCAGCAGCTCCTAGAGTAGGGGAGAGCACCCCTTCCATCTTAGTTATGTTCCTGTCTAACTCCAGTTTTCAGCATGTCGCTGAGACCCCTATTGAGAGCTTATCTTGCCTTTCTTCTAAGCTGGGGAGTTTATGGACAGCTCAGTACTGTTATTAGATACTTTGAAGAATCTTTCTAATGTTTCTTGGGCTCAGCCTCCAGCTGTGAGCTCCAGCAATGGAAGTAGAGGCTTTGGTTGCAAACTACATGCCATCAAGTGGTGCTATTATGAGGGTCAAAACATGGAGGATCCACCATTTAGTCCTAACAAGGATCTCCTAGCAATTCAATCCGGAAAAGATGGTTGCACAAGCAAATATAATGTAGATGCACTTTTCTTCTACCTCTCCCTTCTCATTGTTGAGCTATTGCTGCTCTGGCATTGCTGGGAGGGGCAGACATCCATTGCCATTAGTGGCACCAGTATTAGAGCCACTTTTATTTCCTTTTACTAATGGATGCAGATGCCCCCACTTCTTTGCCCTCTGGCAAGGAGGGGAATTGCCTGTGCATAAGGAGGTGCCAGAGTGGTCTGTATTCATCATGGCCAGGCTGTTTCAAAGGCTGATTTTCCTCATCTTGTTGAAAAAGTGCTAACCCTCTGCAGGTTAGAGGAGCAGTCTGAGTTGCCAGAGGAAGAACAAATTATAAATCACTGAACATTCTTTTTTCTTAGCAATAGGTTGATCTTCTGCTAGCAGACCATCTTAATTCTCTATTCAGCTATGACTTGGCAGATTCCCTGCAAATTTACATGCGAATTGGGAAACAGCTGCTCTAGCTCCGTAAATCCTAGATTGGCTTACAAACTTTCTCAAATGTGATGTCTTCATTGGTAGATCTGGGTGCAAGGATAGAAGAAGAACCTCATTGTCCCAAATGGATACATTTTGTGTTCCAATGAGATGAACGTCTGTACCTTCTTCATGTTGCAAATTTAAGGATCTCTGATTGAAGGCATATGAGGTTCTTCTGAAACTGATAATAGATGTGTTTCCTACAAAGAAACCATTAATGCCACTACTAAATCCACTTGAAAGGATATATTTGTTAGGTCACTTGAACAGATTATGATAATGTTTTTAGTGATCCTTGAGATCACTGTTTCTTAGGGTTTATATTTGAAAATTGTTTTTGGGTAGCCATAATTCCCTGGCTTGTATTCAATCCCTGCAAAAGAAGGATTGGTACGTATTCTTGTGTGCTGGACTTTGGGGAGCATATTATAGGAAGATTAGAGTTTTTAAAAATAAATCCCTGAGCATTATTGTTTCTCTTATGTATTTAAGGTGAAAGACTTCCAATGTGTTAGTATTCTGTTTGAATTTTTGTATACCTATATTTTTTTCCAGTGCGTGTCTCTGCCCAGCTTCTGCTCAGCAGAGAAACAGTACTTCTTTTGTTTTCTTCAATTGTTTAATCTGCCTTCAGCAGATGATCTGATAGGATTTCCACACCTAAGTGATGAAGGTGAATTCACTCCTATGTTTTCTTCTTTCATGAAACTTCGTTACTGCTTGTAACATAGTCATTTCTGTGACAAATTTAGCTCCTTTGGTTGGTTTTTTCTATGGCCCCCTATATATAAAGTCACTACATGGACTTTTGTGACTTCGTTTGTTAAGGGAATTCCTGAAGTTCTTCAGAATAATATAGCCCATCCTTCTAGCAATTACTTTTGTATGTCCCAGTTTGCAAGATTCCCTTCTCCAGTGTTGAAAAATGGAGCATTGGATTTGCCATGAAGCAACTTCTTTTACGTGGGTAGAGGATAACTATCCTTCCCTGATGAGATAATGGCTCTGTAGTGGAATTTTCATCCTGTCAGATCTTTTTCCCTAGAATTTGCTTTGGAGCTCCTATTGCTTTTCAGTGTTACTGGGAGGAAGGAAATGCTTTCCCTCATGCTAGGGTTTGTTAGAAATACCCTTAGAAATACTGGAGCAAGTGGGAGGAGCAGCCCACTATCCCTGTGGAAAAGGAACCTTAATGTTCCACTCTAAACTCTGGTGGAGGGAATTATCCTTGGACCACTGTGCTACTAACAGAGAATCTCAGTGCTGTTTGCTTTTATTTTATATATTCTAATCAAATTCAGTGATACTAACTGACAAGAGGCAGGGTTGCTACTTGATTTCATTATACTGAATTTTTTTTTAGAATTCTATACTCACTTGCTTTCCCATTCAGACTAAGTGTAACCATTTTCACCCTTCTAATCTATATACAGATTGCAAGACTGCTTTCTGCTCAATTGCTTGATGAGGCTCAATGATAAAAGAAAATGGGTATATGTGAAACATTAAGTGATTTTGACAATTTTTTGTAATAGCTATTAAATAGATATTCAGAGGTGACCCAGTTTAAAATATTTTGTATGTCCTTGAAGCTCAGTAGCTATTGCTATGAATTGTATAATTTTCAGAACCCTTCTTTTCCTCATTGCTGGTCCTCTGTTACCCAGCTTGCTCATTGTCCTTCCTGCTCTGCTCCTGTTACGTTGCTTTTATGATATTAATATTATCCCTGGATTGTTGCTTACAAATGATGATTAAGAAGCTTGGCAGCCTTCCAAGTCAGAAACTTGTTTGCATACTTTTTTCTGACAGCTAATTTTTATTTTTTAACTGTTCAACATTTTTCAGAAATAATCAGAAGCTCTTTGTGTGTGTATGTGCGTGTATATGTATGTGTATAAAAGCAATCCAATTACTCTGCAGAAACAAAAGCGCAATTAAATGATATTAAAGGGCACTTTTTCTAATGGTTGCCATAGAAGCCGTGAAACCCCAAGTCTTACTGGAGCCAGCCCCTAGAGCAGGCGGACTGAAGTCCCCAACACCAAAAAGCAGGGGTTCTCCACTGCCAGCCCAGAGATCAGCTCCAGAAGGTTGGGGAGGGCTTCTGCTGGGCAACAAGGTGGTCAGTAACTCAACAGGATCCTCAGCTTATACCTGCAGCCCAAGTTAACAAATACTGTAGGCACTCCCATCCCATTGTCTCCAGGGTAGACTTCCTGGTCTCATGCAAGGTATTTCTCATCATCAAAGCCATCCTGCCTCCCAGCTTTGGCACTGAGGATTTTGAAGGATCTGGTAAGTGTCCAGGCAGATCTCCAAAAAGTCAACAATGTTGTCCTTGCCCTGGCTATTATTAGCCAGGTGTTAATAATACATGCCAGTTCTGCCAGGCTCCTTACAGAATTCATGCTTCATTTTGGAGGACATCTAGCCTTCTTGAACCTGGTACTTTCCACTATTTCCATCAGCATGGCCAAAATTGGCTGTGGATTATGGGAGATGCACTCTATTATAATGCAAATGCATCAGGTTGGGGAGGCTAAATTTCTGGCTGGCCCTTAAATGCTGTAGGTGTAGTTCATTCCAACCTCACTGCTTAAGTTGCATGGAAATTCTTTGTATTCAGTTCCTCCCTACTTTGCAATGTTTTGCAATTCTCAGAGGAACCTGATTTTAAGATACACACAGTGGTCTTGATTCAGAAAAACAGTAAAAATGGGTTGGCTTCCTATATACCAGACCTGTATAACATATATAGAGGAGAAAGGACCACATTGATAAATTACAAATAATTACAAAGGTATACCTGGTGCACTGATCAGCTGTTTGATGGTTGGCAGAGTGGCAACAGTGGTAGAGCTGGTGCTTGGCAAATTTATTGACTTAAAAAATGCTGGCAGGCCACACAGGGCTGTTGGTTGGGCCACGTGTGGCCTGTGGGCCATATGTTATGCAGGCCTGCTGTACACAATTATAAATTAGTGTATGAGGCCATAATTGTGTGAACTATTTTTGAAATTGTGCACACATCCTGGCAAATTGGATCTCATAATGGGAATGAATGCTGCTTTCTCTTTAGACAAACAGATACTGCCTGCCATGTGTAGAGCTTAATTAATAAGCTGATCTTGAGATAAGATACCACATAGCTCCTGCCTCTCTTACCTGAGTTTCTGATCCTCAATAATTTCCTTACTACAGATAGCACACTGACAATTCAGTAGTGGGAGGTTGTGTATGAACCCTTAAAACCATCCATAATCCTGCAGTACTATCACATACAATATGATTTCAGCTTTGTAGGTCCTATTTATAAAAGAAGAGATCATGGTTAAATAAACAACACACAAAACCATGTACTGCATTTTATTTTTATTGAATACATTGGGCATTCACTGTGCTGGAAAAATACGTGAAGCTTAAGATATAACAGGTAGCAGTAACAGGTAGCTCCTCCTCTAGCAGCAATGATTTCAGCCAAATGTTTCCTGTATCTGTTGATCAATTCTGCACATCAGTTTGGAGGTATTTTGACCAATTCCTTTTTACAGAACTGTTTCACATTAATGCCAGAAAATTCCCCTTTTGTCTCATCTGTCCACAGAACGTTTCAGTAGCCTGTGGGATCCTTCTGGCAGTCTTTGACAAACTTTAGATGGGTGGCAGCATGCTTTCTGGAGAGAAGTGGTTTTCATCCACACATACCACTCTTGTTCAGTGTTTCCCTTATGGTGGATCTATGAATACTGACCTCAGACAATGCAAGAATTGTCTCCAGGTACTTTGAAGTTACCCTAGGGTTCTTTTGCTCTTGGGGTAATTTTTGTTGGACAGCCACAAAGTAACAAAGGTGCTGTATTTTCTTCATTTATAAACTGTTCACCTGATCATTGTCAGATGGAGACCGGAATTTTTGGCAGTCTGGTAAGCCTTTCCTGTCTCAGGAGTATCAATAATCCGTTTTCTGAGGTTCACAAACTTTTGATTGGGGCATTATTTAGTTCCACAAACTTGTGCCATGAAGAGCAAGCCCTGATGATGGCAACCAACATATGTATGGTTATATTTTTGTAGGGGAGGGCTTCAGAACCTCAAATCATTGATAGGAACATCAGATGCTGCTTAAGAGATTGGATTATCCCAGGACTTCAAATACTTTTTACAACAAAGACAGTGAATTCAGTGTGTTCAATGAAGACATGATACAGTACACTATATTAGGTGGTGTTTGTTTAACAACAATTTGTTTATCTACTAACAGGATGTAGATGAACTCTGATTTCATTGCCAGGATTATCAATCATTCTTAAAGCTCCACAAACTTTCTGTCACCACTGTTAGTGTTCTTCACAGTTACACTTCAGTAATTTGCCAAGAGAAAATCCTGAGTTTTTCTGAAATTTACTTACTTTTGCAGAAGTTTGAAAAAGCTAAAAACAGGAAGCATATAGTGTTAAATGTTGAGGAAGAACCTTCCTTGACTTTTCTGCACCAAGTGTGGATGATTTTTGTAGTGTTCATATTTTCTGCAAATTATTTGAATTCTCTTGGGAATATCACTAATATTTGATTTTTCTTTTCTTTTGATTTTGATTTTTAGCAGGTGGTGGAATCTCAGAGTTGTTATGAAAGCTTCCTTCCTGATGCCCTCTTATTTCTCATTTTGGCATCATAACATGGAATAAGAACAAATGTTCAGTCAGATAATGGACTGCCTTTATATGGGAAAGATATCTGACTGGACTGCCTGCATCTCCAGGGAATAATTTTTGCAAATTATGGAAGAGGAACATTTTCTCCCCAGTCATTTCTTTTTACTAACAGTAAATGGACAAGGAAAGATTTGTGCAAAATCTGATGGGAAAGAGCTGTTTTTTGCTCATAATCTTCTTAAGAGTTCCCTAAAGTACAAGGTCTGGAACAAGATAAGAAGATCACTTGCTTGTATATTGAGGTCCTGTGTTTATGTTCCATGGCTTCATTCTTGAGAGAGAAAAATGCTGGAGACCTATTGAATTCTGGCATAATGCTGTTGCATAGTGACTGGCTAAAGCAAATTATTCTGAGCATTTTTTTTTTATTTGTTTCTCTTCCTTAACCACATTGAATTGGAAATGCAGTTAGTGCTTAGCTTCCTGTCCTACAGCTATGATATGTTGTAAATTGATCCAGTTTTCAAATCAGCTATTGAAATCCAGATGACTCTGATGTATAAGAACAAGAACTATTTCTCCAAGGGAGAAAAGGAGCTTATAAAAAGTGAGTAGACTGAGCAAAAGCATGAGTGACTCTGGTTTCTTCTCACCATGTTTTATCCACATCCAGAGATGCTTGTTTTCCAACCCTTTCAGGGTTCTAGTGAGAACAAACACTTCCCTAGACTCTGTAGAAGAAGTATATAAAAATGGAAAACACAGACTTATATTAAATTAATTCATTTGTTATATGTTCTGAAAACAATTTAAGGATGTGAATGTTGATCCTGGGTCTATTTTAGAAAATAGGCCTTCGATTCAGGAGATTTACATTATGACAACAATGTCTTCAAAGTATAGCTAAAGGATACACAGGTGATTCACATAGTCTTACATCTATAGAATGGATAAATGAGTTTTAAATATGCTTTTTAGTTTAATTGTTTTGTTTTCTGCATAATGTCCTGTGGCATGTTTCTTCTAAGGATATCCTGAGTTGAAATCTCATATTTTGTTTATTATTATTTATGCCATTCTCACTTCTAAGGTTTTATGCAACCTTCCCTTATATAATCTGGTCACCTACAGCTTTCCAGTCCATATGAAGATTGATAGAAAGGCTTGGATAATAACTGTTGTATTGTTTATGTGGTATTATGAATTCAAGCCAGATTTGCAGTTTTCTCCAGTTTAGTGTGGTTTGTTTTATTTTTCAGTTTTCTATTGTTATTTTTGTTACTATTGTAGTTTGTACAGAACCTGAAAAATAATAATTGCTTTGTAGCTACTGTAAAGTACTGCTGTGATGTTAGCTTCTCTATTTGTAAATAAAGAGGTATGTTTTATTTCTTAAATGTTGTAATCTACTCTTTTTTGTATTAGCTTTATTCAAGCAAGTTGTAGAATATTTACTTCAGTAGCCCTTGAATGATCGATTGATCAGTCGATTATGTGCCATCAAGTTGCTTTCAACTCCTAACAACCACATGCTATTAAGATAATGATAATTTGTGGTACACTCAGTTTAATTGAAATGCAAAGAATATTCTGAAGAAACTGATGGATTGCAACTGGCCTCTTCAGAACTGAGAAAATGAAAAATATTGCAAACCTTACACAGGTAGTCCTCACCTAATGACCACAATTGGGACTGGAATCTCGGTTGTTGAGGGAAGCAGTCGTTAAGTGAGACACCCACGTAACTTCTTTGTTCAATTACCACAATCCAGGCACTCCCAGTTGTGGTCGTTAAGCGATCTCCCAGGTCATTACAGGTCATTAAGCAGAGGGAGTGAAAGGGCTGCCTGCTGATGGATTTCAGCTCAGCACAGAGCTGAAATCCTCCTAGCAGGCAGCTCTTTGAGAGTGAAAGGGCTGCCTGCCAGACGGTTTCAGCTCCATATAGAGCTGAAATCCTCCCAGCAGGCAGCTCTTTTGCTCTCAAATGTTCCTAAACCGCCGAAGGGTTTGCCCTCCCTTCTGTGGATGGAGGGGAAGTCCTTCCTGGGGCTGGAGGAACAGCTAAGATCCTCAGGATTTGAGCTCTGTTCCTTCCCACTGCCAAGGAGTTTCTCTCCTGGAAACCCCTCCTGGAAACCCCTTGGCGATGGGAAGGAACGGAGCTCAAATACTGAAGAATCTGTGGAAATTCTTGGGCTGCAGGAACGGAGCTCAAATCTTCAGGATTTGAGCTCCATTCCTGCCCACTGGCATGTCCCCTCCACTTGCAACCTTCCCTGCTGGCTTCCAATGGGGAAGCCAGCAGAGAAGATTGCAAATGGTGATCACATGCTCATAGGGTGCTTGGCAATTGGTTGTAAATGTGAGCCAATTGCCAAGTGCTTAAAATGCGGCCATGTGACCGCAGGGGGTGGTGGTGCAATGTTTTATGATGGTCAGAAGTGCTTTATGGACCATAAAGCACCCTTTCGCAGGCTGTCATAACTTTGAACCATCGTTAAACAAATGGTTGTTAAGTGAGGACTACCTGTAGTGGGAATAATGTAGTTGTCATGAGAAGCTATAATTATTGAGCACAATATAAAGTTCTGATAAGAACAAAGAGGAAATGAAAGACAGCTACCAAGATACGTGTACTTTTATAACTTTTAATTCTAGGAAGAAGTTTGTCGTGCATGTGATCTACCACTTCATGCCACATCAGAATCATGCAGTAGTATTTTAACATTCAGGAAAAAAAAAAAAAAAGAATGACATCCAATCCACAATTATTGTAGCAACCTTCCAATCATGAACTTCATTCTGAAGACCATGCAAAACATCGCTTATTGTGGAGTAATATAATCTGAAGTCTGAGAGTGTTCAAACTATTTCTTTTTCCCAGCACTTTATAAAAGATCAGTTGGTAAAAGCCAACCTGTTTTCTGATTTTTTTTCCCCAGCTTTGATGTTGTAGTCCAGTAACTCCAAAAGTATTATGAGGAATTTAGGTGCACAGTCCCTGCTTCTGGAACTTGGGTTCCTTCACAGTATTGCTCTGCACAGTGCCAGTATTTTCAGTATAATATATAACTCTTGTTTTAATGGGTGCACCTTTTTACTATCACCTCCATTCATCTTGTTGCATTCCTACTGTCATTCCTTTTTATTTGGGTTTTATGTACACACACAGTAAATTGTACCACACTATTGCCATCTCAGTCCATATGTACTAAGTGTGCTGTGGTAACAGCAACCAATTCCTAGCTAGGTATGTAGTTGAGTTACAGTTAAAACATTCCTACCTACCCCACCCCCACCCCTCATTTCAGTCCAGCCCACTGCAGTCATACTGCTGAAATTCAGAAGGAAAAAAATGAAGTACTGCAATCAGTAGCAGGATCGTTGGTCTCTTAAACAATTTTGTAAAAGCTCCATGCTCTCAAGAAAAAAAGGCTTTCCCACACTATAATAACATTATTGCATCACTGCCATATTACCTACAGCTATTGAAGGACAAAACTATGATATGATGATGATGATGATGATGATGATTGGTCACAGCCAGATGTTTAGCTGGATCTGGTATTTTTGTCCACCTATCGAATCCTTCCCAAGGACCTGGGATAGGCAGATGTTGTTTACTAACATTAAAGGTATCTTCGCAAGATATAAGCTGTTCCAAGTAAAGCTGCCTTTTCCAATTGACTGGATGATTTTGGCAATCCTGATGGTGTTCAAGTGGGGCTCCAGATGTTTTGGGATTGTACCTAAGGTGCCTGTAACTATTGGTACTATCTTTGCTTTCGTTTGGTGTAATCGTTCTACTTCTATTTGCAGGTCCTTATATTTTGTGATTTTATCCAATTCTTTCTCTTCTATTCTGCTGTCTCCAGGTATTGCAATGTCCACTATCCAGACTTTTTGTAACTATTGGTACTATCTTTGCTTTCGTTTGGTGTAATCGTTCTACTTCTATTTGCAGGTCCTTATATTTTGTGATTTTATCCAATTCTTTCTCTTCTATTCTGCTGTCTCCAGGTATTGCAATGTCCACTATCCAGACTTTTTTGTCTTTCTTATCAACAATTGTTAAGTCTGAGGTGTTATGTGGCAGGTACTTATCTGTTTGAATTCTAAAGTCCCAGAGCACTTTAGCTTCTTCATTTTCTCTTTGTCTGTTTTGTGGTCCCACCAGTTCTTCCTTTTGGGCAAATGGTATTTTTTGCAGATATCCCAATGCGCCATTGTTGCTATATTGTCGTGCCGTTGTTTGTAGTCAGTCTGTGTGATCTTCTTGCAGCAGCTAATTAGGTGGTCCACTGTTTCTTCAGCTTCTTTGCGGTGGTGGTGGTGGTTGTGGTGGTGATGATGATGATTGGTTGGTTGGTTGGTTGCACAGCCAGATGGTTAGACTAGATTTGGCATTTTTATCATCATCATCATCTGCACCTGTCCTTTGAAATTGCCATTCCTGAGTGAGAGCAGTGCTATGATTGGGAAAGCATGTTGGAAACTCACAAAATCCTCTGTTTTATATTTTGGAGAACCAAGATGGGAGAAAGAAGCAGATTGGAGTAGTAAGGCAAAATCCTACAAAGGCCAATTCTGGGCTTAGACCATTTCTGGCATTCAATTCCTTGAGTCTAGTGCCATAAATCATGCCCCAAACCAACTTGGAGGATCGCAGTGGCTATCCGGTTTCTGCCATGGGAATCACTGTAGAGAAAAGCATACAATGGATTATTATATATATGGCTAATGTTTTGTAGATGATTACTTAACCTGTGATTCTTTTAATATATACTTTAGGTACACATCAGCTACGTTTGATTATTCACATTACCTTTCTGTCACTGGAAGAACTATCTGTTCAAACAATGGTATGAGTATAATGCTTTGGCTTTTCAGGATGTGTACAGTTTGATTAAAGAATGCTTCTTTGTGACATCACAATTTTAAAACTGATTCCATGCCACAGAGCCATAAGTAATTGAATGAGCACCATGAAGGAAAGAGCCAGACTAAGAAACTTCGGTCTTAATAGTATATGATCAGCGTGGAGAATAAAAAAATCCCAGATTTACATGTTCCTAATACCTTTAGTATAGGGTGCATCTTTTTCATCACAAATATTTACAAATTTTTATGATTCCATAAAATTTGGAATTTGTTTATATAATATATATATTTGTTTATATATAAAATTTGAATATATAGTGTGGATGTCAGTTTTGCGTAAGTATTGCTTCTGCCCACGCCCTTGCCCCCATCCCAATATTTTCTACATTATGGGATTTTGGAATAAAATTGTTTTTATGGGAAGGGTGTCCATTTCTCAGTGATAGAATTGGAGTTTAAACAGGTCAGTTATCCAACTCCATCATTCTCCTAATGCCCTAAATCAATAGTAAATTTGCTTCCCTCTTCACACTTATGAGATCCCTTGTTTCCGGTGACCTGCTCTGCTGAGCAGAACCCTGCAGTTAGAGAATATTCTTTGCCTACCAAGGATCCTAGTTTCAATCCCTAACATCTTCAGATAGTAGGACTGAGAGAGATTGTAAAGGATTTGGCAAGCCATTGCAATGGTCTGTCTCAATTTAAGGCAGCCTCAAATGTTCACAGGGTTGTGATATTGAAATGAGAAAACACACAATTATAGTATAAATTGGCCTTGTCAGATTCTGTATTTCTAATCCAAACCAGAGAATTTTAAAGAAACAAAAAATCAGGGCAGCCTGTTGCTGGAGCTCACTAGTTCATGGGTACTGATGCTAAGCCCTGTATTATTATCAAAGCTGAGAAGCTAGTATGGAGTGGTGCTCTCATGGCAGATCTCATATATCATGACTAAAAACACTGTATAAATGGTCCATTTATAAGCTGAGACAGAAAAGATGTACTCACTGATGAAGATGATTTGACTTTCCTAATTTGGCTGCTTCAGACATCACATGATCAATTAAGGACCAATAAAGTTTAAAAATATGAAGAATGCCAATTATGTGGAAGAACTTACTACATTCCTCTTATATTTTATTAAGGGGATGATTTTATTTAAATATTTATATAAAACTTTCCATTTTAAAAATCTCAAAAAAAGTTTATAATAAATTTATTTTTAATATATAATGGTAGTTGTACTTTATCTGTATCACCTGCAGACTGACTTTTATAAGTGTCCACCTTTTACCATGTTAATTAGCTTTTTTCTTTTGGCAGTATGTCAACGAGTGGTCTTTGAATTTTGTGGATTCCTCATGTCCAGAGATCTGGCTCAGAAAGTGGGATCTGTTTTAATCATCAGGAATATTTATTGATATTTTAAAAGAATGACATTTAGGTCATTTGATCAGACAACTGAATATATCATAAAAGGACTCTTCAGGTATGATGATGGCAGAAGCCTATTTTATGGTTAAACATTAGCATTTATTCTCTGACTAACTTTTTCCATGGCTTCTATTGGAACAATTACCATTCCTGTCAAACTGAGAACTGCTACTGCCAGAGTTTCAATCAGTTCCACAAGCTGTAGCGTGACCTGTGGCATGGGTTACAAGGTTGAAGAAACATGTCAGATTGGGCCTAATGGTGAAAGAAGATACTGTGACATTCAAAAAGTGGAGTGCTTGACCAACTGGATCTGTGGGATGCTCCATTTCACCATTCTTGTGGGTAAGCCTTTTGAATTCTGGTGCTTATCTCCAATAGAAATTGGCCCAGATATCCAGAGCTTCAGTTATTCATGGAGGTTAGCCAGAGGTATCATTACCACTGATGATGCTCTCTTTAAACCATTCAAGACTACTGGCTTTGTCATTAAGCTTTCCCCAGCCAAGGAATATGATGCAGGGACATATAGGTGTGATGTGCAATTCATGAGAACCTATAAGATTGTCAAAAGAATCTACTTTGGAGTTCGTGTGATCCCTGGTCACTTGGTGGATCTGAACTTCGACAAATTCTTGACTCTGGAACAGCATTTAGAAAGCGAGAATGAAAAAAACCAGCAGAATGTCACCAATGTTCCTGTCCAGGAGCAGCAGCAGTCTTGGCGCCAAAGAGCTCTGTTTGTATTTTTAATAGGCATTGGAAGCGGTGTGGTAGGAGGAATCTTGTTGCACAACATTTTCTACTATTTGGTGAAGGTTCCCAATAACTATGGATATGTGGAGGAATAAAATGTTTGTTCTTGTAGTCTTGCTGTATGCCGACTGCTATATTTCATCATTTTGCTATATTAATGTTTATGCTTCTGGCTTATTAAGATTATTTTGTGGTGTGAAATCACATGGTTTCACTTAATTTATTAGAAAGCAATAACATATCCTGTTCCTTAATTATTTTAAGTTTCATAAAACTTTTTAAAGACTGTACAAAACTTGTAAATCAGTACATCTTTTCTACATCCATGTAGAAAATCCTAATTTCTAATCATCCTAAATTCAGTTTTCAAGGCTGGAAAGGATACCTACAACATTGGAATATCTTCCAAGTCAGCAGAAATCAGTTTTTTTTAATAAATTGATACTCTCCCAATATATTGGGACCACAAATCTCAGAATTCCTAGCAGGTTAGCCAACAGCTAGGCTCAATAGTAATGGTAATCCCACCCAGTTTGGGAAGAACAGTGTAAGATAGAGATGAGCAACTAGTGAGATTGGAACAATCCATTTCACGCTCTAATGCAGTGTTTCTCAAACTTGGCAACTTTAAGACATGTGGACTTCCAACTCCCAGAATTCTCCAGCCAGATAAAGAAAAAGCGGGGGTGGGGAGGCACATTCAGACTTGCAAGATTCTGTTACTGTAACCTTACAATAAACATAGAACTAGCATTCATAACTTTGGTTTCCTAGTCTGGTTTACCTCAAAGGGCTGACATCAATCTTGCAAGTCTCAATGCACATCCGTCCTCCCGCCCTTTATCTTTTAGACACTTAGGGAGGGTTAAGTCCGAGATGCTTTCTGAAATTACAGTTCTGTCTTGGACTCAAATTTCTTTTGTCTGACCGTTGTCTTGGTTGCGGCTGTTCCTCCTGTTCCTCAAGGTTATTCCTGCTTCCCATCACAGTTGCTTTGGATGCTTTATTAATGAGTTCATGCCCTTTCCTTACCTGCCTGAACTTTTCGGATGGCAGCAGAGCCACAACAAACAGCTGTGGCCTTCAAGCATAGCAATACTGTTTAATGGTTATGTTATATCCCAGCACATCAATAAGAATCCAATTAACCTTAAAAATATTAATCAGCTGGGATATAACATTCATTAGCTCCTGATCTACCTAGAATCCATACTGAATTGTTAAAGTGAATACTTTCCTGGACATCTTGATTACCAGTATTGAAATTCAGCTTTTAACATGCTCTTGTTATGCAGATTTTTGTAATGATTTGATATAATTTTTTCACACACACACACACACACAGATAATTTTTATTGAAAGTTTTAACAACAATAGTAAGAACTAATGCAAACTAAAGTAGAACAAAAAAGAAAAAAGAGAAAGGGAGAAATAAAAATAAGCTAAAAGTGCAAAAAGAAAAAAAGTAGAAAAGTAGAGAAAAAGAAAAAAGATATAAAGAAGTGGCTTCCAATCTTCACAGCTGTTACAAATACAATTACATTTTAACCTCTCTCTCCAAGGTTACATCATGACTCTCTTCTTTCTATAGTCTGTCTTGTAATGATTCAAAATAATTTTTCCAATGATTTCTTCATTTTTAGAAAGAGTGTGATACAGTGCTTTCCTAGCATCTTTCATTTGAAACTTGAAGTGGGGAATGTGAACTAACTGATTTATTTGACACCAAAAGTGAAACAATCACTCTTTTTAATTTCCTGTCAATCTTTGGATGTTTAAGATGAACACAGCCAACCCTGAATTTCAAACTGAAGGCTTTTTAAAGGTGGAAGCAGAAAAGGTGGAAGCAGAAAAGCAGAACGTTATTTTATATTAAATTGTAGCCCAGCAATATCTTAAAGTATACATAAGTTTGTATAACATGTCAAAATGGCCATGAAGGTATAGTTTTGGATAGGGAATATTTGGTGATTTAAACCCTGAGATTAGAAAGAAGGAAGTGGGTAATTCTCCCATTTACCAGCAATGCCTGAGAAAGTGGACAGTTGGAGTCAAGTTACTCCATTTCCATCCTCTATTCAAATTGTGCTTCTACTTGTTTAAAATAAAAGTCACATTTGAAGAAATTTGCTAGTCTTGATAGATCTTTATTTAAGAACAGCGTGCTACCATCATCAATAAGTAATATTATAGTTTACTTACAACGCTTATTTCTTTTTGTTTGCCTTAAAAAATAGCATTCAACAAAATTACTGAGAAAATATTGTTCTATTCCATATATGGAGAAATCAGTAGAAGAGACCAGTAGAGTTTTATTTCAGGTAGTAGTAGATTTCACATTAAAAGCAAGGAGTTAACCTAAACTGAGGCTGGCAATGCCAGGATGCTGTTTATGTGTTCTTTCAAATCAGCTTTGTAATAGTATAGACTTTGTGGTTGCTACTGCAACTTTGTAGAGCACTACATTCACCTTGTGTCTAATTAATTGTCATTTGGAAGAACAAGTGAGTGAGGAAAGATGCCTATTTTCAATATACGGTATTTATCAGTATAGCATACGTCTATGATATATGATGTGGTCTCTAAACCAGGGTACGCGCATGGCAGGCACCTCCTGGAGCCCTATGCAGTCACTCAAAATTTGAAAGGACAGCTGGCAAGGATGCTGCTCCCCTTCCAACTACAGCCTCCGTTATTTACATAAAAGATCTGAAGGAAAAGTTCAACATTTGGTTGAGTTTGGTCACTGAACTCTGGTGGTTAGGAACTTTGCCGTATCGGGATTCCCCATTACTAGGAATAATTCTGTGACTGTGAAAACAGATGCGTGTTTGCTTTGGGTGTGCAAATTATAATGGCATGGTCATCCACATTGTTCTCTGTACTTAAAAAATTCTAAAGTCTGAAGAGGACTTTTATTTTTACTGAAACCATGAGATTTTCCAGTAAAGCAACACTTTTCCTCCACCTGTTCCTGCTCTAAAGTACAGATTTAGGTGTATGTAAGGGACTGTTACAGCATCTTTAAATTTTTATAGTGGCCCCTGAATTGCTTCCTAAATCAGTAGGTTCCCATAAAGTAACTTATTATACATATCACAATAACGATTAGCTAATTATTCAAAACCTAAATTTCCTTGCAATTGGAAGTTTTTAAATCAGATGAAAAAGATCTTAACAGCCAGCAGTGGACAACAGTATTGAAGAAAGGTGGACAACGTATATTTCTACTTTTTAGGAAAATAGAAATAAGTGTTGTGGTACATAAACATGATCAAAACAGTAAAAAATGCATAACAAAACAATGCTGTTAATATCTTGGGTAAACCTAGTAATATTGAGCTTATGTATAAGAACTGTTGACCAAATTCTGTACTGGTGACAAAATTGCAGTGGAATGAGATTACAATGGAATGAGATTGCCACATTTTCTTCTGATCTTAAAAAGCACTTACTTCTGATAACATTAAACTAAAGTGGGTCTTATTTCATTAGAGTATGCTTGCAGAGAGTTGGTAAATATGACACATGAGAGGACATAAGGAAACCTATTTCTGATCAATGCCAACTCTTTGCAGTATAATGGGAAAATGTTTGAAACAGGCTTCAGTTTTGTGGACTACATCTTGTTTTTTGTACTAGAACTTTAAAATCCACCAAGTGAAACCAGATGCAAAAATAAAACGGGGAGTTTTCACGATGCATTTGTGGTGAAATGTATACACACAGGGTGATCTATGCCTGCTTACTCAGAAATAACGGTGATTGGGATGACAGTTCCTGAATTAAGGAAATGTGATTTGAAGCATGTATTCAGTTCAGGAATTTATTTTCATTACTGAAGCTAAATTTATAGCTCTTTTACATAAAAATCCCTGGCTGGTTTCCCACAACATGCCTTTGCTTTAGCAGCCTACAGTATGGAAGATGTATGTTAATTCACATAAGTGTGGAATGGATTTTCAAGTGTACAAAGCCCAGTAACTTGAATGGGGAAGGGAAAGTGGAACCGGAAAAGAGTGATTTTTTAAAGACTACCTAATCAGTTCATGGCTTTCAGAAAGGGATTTTCTGATTTGTAGCCTTGGCCACAATCTTATGATTCCTTGAAAGTTATATTTAGGACCATGGTTAGGACAGTTTGGATCTTCTCCTGAGGATGCTCAGAGAAGTCTCCCTTAGATCGTCCCATTCTTGAATTTCTCCTGCCAGTCCCTCTAGAAATCTCTTCCACTTCCAACATGAGCGTATTTGAAAAGATGGAGGGTGGGATGAGATTTCAAGTGTAGCCTTAACCCTCAGTCATGAATGGATATATATGCCAACCTTCCCCAAGATGGGTACCTTCAGGCATATAGTTGTTACCTTTAGGAATTCCCAAGCCACCATGGCCATTGCTGAGAATCACAGGATTTGAAGTCCACACCTCTGGAGATTATCCATATTAGGAAAAATAGGTATATATGAATTTTCTTCCATTCTTGCAATGGAATAGAAATTGTTCAAATGGTGTGGGGTAGTGAGGTGCCAGAATAGGAATGTTTGGGGGGGGGGGAAGCATGTCTTCCTTCAATATGCCTTTGAATAGGGGCATATTTGAATGTGTCTATCTTTAGATTTCCTTGCTACTTATAGACAACTCTCTGGAACTCAAAACAAAACAAAAACAACTCTTACAAATCTGTTGATCTCCAAGAAATCTATTAAAGGCCAAAAATCCACTTTCTACTTGTCTCTAGCTTAAAATACTGATACAGCCTAAAATCTGAATACATACTGTACTTTTATTTATATATGATAAGTTAGGGTGTGAATGTAAATGAAATAAAACCAATGTATTTTAATGAATGAGACAAAACAATACAAATTACAAAACAAATGTACATATAAATATATACAACATACAGACACACAAAAGTAATTACATAGGGCTATAATAATACATTGTATGACTTTATATTGAAAAATGCTGTTTATTTTTTTATTATTTTTGAATGTATGTTTGGAATCGTGGGTGACACTCATGGAAAAAAAGTGAACTGAGATATGCTTTCCATTCAATGTGTCACTATTAAATGTTGCCAATAGTGTTCTAGAGAAATAGTTGAGAACTGGGGCAGGAAATATGGGAAATATAGAGATTTAT